AACCTGGAGAGCCTGAGGGATGTGAGGACGCCTTTGGCTCAAAGGATCAGGAGCTTCCTTCACAAAGGCAGGATATGTAATCAAGGTGGATTGTTGACTGTAGAACTAGGGGACTCAAGAAGCCTAAATGAGGTAAAGCAAGATGTGTCTGTATGACCTGATAGCCCCAGTCCAGGGAAGTCCTCAAAGCTGGCAGGGCACTTGCAATTATTCTTGGCACTGAGCTATCATCACCTTAAACATAAATGAATGCGGTCACTCAGTGGGCGAGTTGGCAGTACTGACCGTATAAATGCCAAGGTTTCGTGTGTTCTAGTTGACTTTCAGTAGACCACACCTGGGTGGTGATGTGCTCTTGGGGGCCCCTAGGAAGGACTGGTCTTCAAAGGTGGCTTCCTGAGAAGGATCCACGGGATGCATCAGGGTGATCTTTGAGCACTGCTTGGTGGCTTATCCAGTCTGAAACACTACTCCATCCTCACAGGAAAATGTATTCAGCTAATCTCTGGCCAGGGATGACCAGCTCCTTGCAGGTTGAGTAGGTGGTGGGAGAGTGGGACACAGCTGGAGTGGAGAGCAATGGGGTGTGTACTAAACTCTCCCTAAACATCTGTAGAGTGGAGAATACTGGTTATATCCTAGACTAGGGTTGTAGAGAACTTGTGCTTTCTCCATTACAGATTTTAGATCTCTGTGGTGTTGGACTTTTTCGCAGTGCAGAAGTGGTGGGGAAAGGCAATTTTTAGGAGTTAATTTATTTCATCCCCTTCCGCCACTGGATTTCAAGCATACTATACCACCTTTTGATATGGTTTCTGCTGTGTGTGTTGGGGACAAATATCATTAAATGTAAATAGCTACAGCCGAAACCGGTTTGGCTCCGTGGATAGAGCATCGGCCTGCAGACTGAAAGGTCCCAGGTTTGATTCCGGAAAAGGGCGTGTACCTTGGTTGCGGGCACATCCCTAGTGGGAGGTGTGCAGGAGGCAGCTGGTTGATGTTTTTCTCTCGACGTTTCTAACTCTCTATCCCTCTCAATTCCTCTCTGTGTAAAATCAATAAAATATTTTTTTTAAATGTAAATAGCTACAATTTTCCCCACCTGCCTTCCAAGGGAGGTCAGATCCTAAAAGAGAGGAGAGCTGTCTTTGTTTTCCCCAAGTGGATGCTGAATGGGCATGAACAGGGATAAGCTGAGAGATGGCTAGCTGGCTTTACATGTAAGGTGTAGGAAGGCTCCATGCCAAAAGCCAATTCTGAAAGCCTAGAAAGCAAAGAGGAGGGAGTGATGTGAAGGTTGCCCTCAGCAATGAAACTTTGTGGAGGGAGGGACTTGTAAAGGGATAATTAGGAAGTTATGCAATGTGTGCTCACTTCGGCAGCACATATACTAAAAAATTGGAACGATACAGAGGAAGTTATGCAGTGTGACCTCCTCCTCCTATCCTCAAGAGTCCTTTTGGTTTGCAGTTCGGTAGGACCAGAAATTTTATTTTGTCAGCAGTCTCTCAGGATGATCTGAAGCAATGAGACTTAAGAATAGACAAAGAAGCTCTAGACAGTTTGAATCAGTGGATAGAGTGTCAGCCTGCAAACCGAAGGGTCCCAGGTTAGATTTCGGTCAAGGGCATGTAGCTTGGTTGCAGGCTCCTCCCCCATCTGGGTCAGGGCATGTGCAGGAGCCAACCAATAGATGTGTCTCTCTCACATCGATGTTTCTCTCTCTCTCTCTGTCTCTCCCCCTCCCACTTGGATGAGGATTTTTTTTAAAAAAAGAAAAAAATAGACCAGGAAGTTACAGATGACTTTGCTATGTTGTGGCTCTCACAGGAAGGAACTGTGCTGCCCAGGCAAAGGGAGTTCTGGTCAGCTCCACGGTTCTAACTCTCCACATAACGTATAACTCAGCAGCAGACTCCTGGTTTATACATTGGTCTCTTGTGAGTTGCAACCTGAGAGACTGCTGACAAAATGGAATTTCTGGTCCTGCCGAACTGCAAACCAAATTCTATGGCAGTCACCCAACCAAGATGCTGCCCCCTTAATAGCCCTCCTTGGGCAGAGATTACTTCCTCACTTACTCTTCCATCTAACAAATATTTATATTATTCGCCAGGCACTAGGCTAAGCACTAAAGATACAATGATGTGCATAGACAGATATGAGCCAGTTTGTAATGCAGGGGATGAGGGGTCGAACAGATATGAATCAAATTATGTCACAAATGTAAAATAATTGTCACAATTGCAGGAAATCCACATTTGCATTGAGTGACTATAACAGAGGAGATTGGCCTGGTCAGGGAGATCTGAAGATGAGAAAGACATTTGGAGGGAAAGGGAAGGGAAGTGTGCAGAGGCCATGTAGGGGCGCATGGCAGGTGTGAGAACCAAAGAAGACTGAGAAGGCTGAAACGGGTTGGAAGAGGAGGAGGTGGAGCAGGAGACAGGAGTGCCAGAACATGAACGCACTCGCATTTTAAGATTTCCCTGGCCAGAATGGATGAGAAGAGAAAATTAAGGAGGCTATTATTCAGACCTATTAGTGGATATATATCCCTCCAAATATCCACACAGGCCACAAGGGGCATGCATGAGGTGTTCACTGTGGCAGATCCTTCACCCTGGGTCTGAATAACTAAAACGTGGATGTCCACTATGAAATATTGCACAGTTGTTCTCTAAGTAACAGACTAAGTATACACGTAGCTATAAGAACTGGTCTTAGAAGCATAGTGCTGAGTGGGAAGAGTAAGAAATAAAGTGAGGTTTATAGCACGATACCATTTAGTTAAAAATACACTCACAGGAAACACCACACATGGTTTCCAAAGACACTGCCACACACCACTGGGGAAGGGGGCAGAAGTGGAGAAAAGATATAAAAGGCCATAAAACAGGAGAGAAGCCGTGCAGAATCCTGATGATATTGTGCTAAAGTGAGAAATGAGTAATTCAAAGTCTGCACCCAGGATTTTTTTAAAATAAGCTTTTGCAGTTGTTCAGGCAAGAGGGGAGGCACCTTGGACTAGGGTGGATATGGTGGAGATGAAAAGTGGATTGAAAAAAAAAATTTAAAAATTTAAAAAATTTAAAAAAATTTTTTTTAAGTGGATTAACTATGTTATACCAATGAATACATGTAAAGCATTTCAATAGTGCCTGATACATAGTAAAGTGCCCAGCCAATGCGAACTGTTCTTATTTTATATTGCAGACACTTAGTGATGGATTAAATATGTAAGGAAAGGGCAAGGGTGGCGTCAGAGATAACTTCCAGCTGCTGAAACAGGCCATTATTGCCAAGTGGGAGGTGAAATAATGAATTGAGGACCCAAAATTCTTTTTGAGGGATTTGATGGGAAAGGGAAGACAGAGTTATCCCATACATTTGGACAACACTCTAAAAAACAAATGAAACAACAAACAAACACTTTTTTTAAATTAACCATACCTCGCTGGTAAGGCTCAGTGGTTGAGTGTTGACCCATAAACCAAGAGGTCCCCAGGTTGATTCCTGGTCAGGGCACATGCCTGGATTTTAGGGTCAATCCCCATTGTCAGGCATGTGGGAGGCAGCCAATCGATGTTTCTCTCTCATCAATGTTTCTATCTACCCCTCTCCCTGCCTCTCTCCCTCTAAAATCAATTTTTAAACATATTTTTATAAATAAAATAAAAGACGTTATGTATTTTTAAAAAGTAATCAAGTAAAACAGGTTTTTGTAGAAACATCATAAGAGATAAATTCAAACAAATTATCGAGTCCCAAATATCTCCTGTGGAGGAACTAAGGTCTATATTTGAGGTGCAGGAGAAATGGCTCCTAAGATCTTTACAAATGCAAACTTTGTGAAATCCCTGCTAGCATAAGTCTCTAAAATACAGGATATAGGGCTGAGAGTGGCTAAAAGGTCAAGTCATCCATTGAAATAGACCCCACTGTAAAAAAAGAAAGCTTGGTGGATTCAAATGATGCATGAAGTTTTGGGCAGAAGCAGTTTGTATTGAATGAAGTCTGGGATTCTTCTAACGTACAAAAATATTGAGGGCCTATTATGTGCCAGACACTGTACTGGGTGCTGGGAATACATCGGTAAACAAAACAGATGACCCTAACCTCACTGAGTTGGCCAGAGTACCAAATATTCAAACAGATATATATAAACTTTGGTAGGTGTTATGTAAGAAATTACAAACTGCTAGCATGTAAATCATTATAGTTAAACTAGAGGCCTTGTGCATGAAATTCATGGGGGGGGGGGGGGGGCACGGGTTGTCCCTCAGCCCAGCCTGCACCCTCTCCAATCTGGGATTCTCTCACAATCCAGGACTGCTGGCTCCCAACTGCTCACCTGCCTGCCTTCCTGATTGCCCCTAAGCATCTCTGCCTGCCAGCCTGATCACCCCCTAACCACTCCCCTATCGGCCTGATTGATGCCTAACTGCTCCCCTGCCAGTCTGTTTGCCCCTAACTGCCCTCCCCTACAGGCCTGATCCCCCCAACCTCTCTGCCTGCAGGCCTGAGTCCCTCCCCCCTCCCCAGCTGCCCTTCCCTGCAGGCTTGATTGTCCTCAACTGCCCTCCCCTGCTGGCCATTTTGTGGTAGCCATCTTGTGTGTTGGAGTGATGGTCAATTTGCATATTACTCTTTTATTAGATAGAATGTTTGCTCACATCCTTAATATGTTTCTGCGAAGGATCCCTAAAAGCTCGATATCTGTGTCTACAGACTTGCTTGTTTCTTTTTAAGTTATTTTTTTAAAACTTAGACTTTTTTGCTCTCCCCAAAATTGCGGTGGGAAAGAGTCCTCAACAATATTCTTTTTTCCATGTTTTTTCTTTTTAATTATCCTTTTACAGGGGCTTTGAAGAATGGGAAAGCATGCTGAAAACACACAAGGACCCCAGTTTGTTAAAATTAAGGTTTAACGGAAGAGTCAGGAAGTGTGTAAATAAAAACTACATTTCCCAAGGGGCAGCGCGGCACGTCCCATAAGATGGACGGCGCACGCGTCAAGGGGTCCTCTGCGATGCGACTCGGCTCTTAAAAGGGTAAGAGCTTGGTTCTCGAGGTGCCGCGAATCTTCGAACGCAAGCGCGTTATTATCTACAGACTCTGAAAAGCATCCGAGGAACGCGGACACCCGCCCTCGCATTCCCAGCGCCGTGCTGTCCGCGGACCGGTAGGTGGGGTGGGGCCCGAGCTGAGCCGGGAGAGCGGCGGGACGCAGGGCTGGGTCCTCCCCCGCCTCCCGTGTCCCGGCCTCGTCGCGGCGGCTCCCGGGAGGCGGTGCGCACGCGCCGGGTCTCCCCGGGGAAGGCGGGCCCGGGAGGGGGCCTCCCCCGCGCGGGTTGCGGGGGTCTGCGCGTGCGCCGGCAGGTCCCGCGGAGCTGGGAGGCCGCAGGGGGCGGAGTCTGGTGCGGAGGCCGGCCCAGGTGGGGTATCCGCGCAGGGGCGAGGAGATGAGGGCTGAGGGTGTTAATATTTATTATATTCTCAACACGCGTCCCTCGGAGCAAAACAGCCTCCTCCTCCCGCAGCATCCCTCCAGGCGCCTTCTCTGCACTGCCTCCGTTTGCAGCTCCCCCGGCTGGCCGCACCTCTCCACCGCAATGGGTCTTCCTCCAGGCCACCGGCCACCCATAGTCCCCAAGTGCGTTGGTCTCTGCCCCGGCTGACCACTGCCCCTTCGTCAATCACCTCTGCCTTTGGGGAGAGGAGCATTCTCGCCCTTGGCCTCAGTGCCCTGGCCCCTCTTCCTGTAAGCTCGTCTGCAGCCCCATCCTAATCTCTCCCCTGCTTTCACTTCCGTTTTCAGGGCTTTAAATGTAAATGCCACCTGCTGTGACAACTCTCTGTCTTCAAACCCAGTGCTGCACCCTGAACTCCAGGTTTTCATTCAGCTCTCACGGGGCATCTCTTCAGTATCTGAAAGTTTGAGTTTGCCCTTCACCTTCCTCGTCTTCCCTTTCTTCCAGTTTCCCAGGCCAAACACCTTGAGTTACTCTTGGTGTCTTTTGCTTCTCCTCTCTCCTCCTCCATCAACCTCCTAGCACATGTTTATCCTGGAGGCTTTGAAAGTTCACTGCTGGGTATTTGATTGTAGATATTCTCTTTGGCACTTGGTTGGTTCTCTCTGCCTGAAAATTTGTGTTTTCAGTTCTCTGATAGTCTCTGTCATTACTGAGATTTCTCTACTTAACTGTACTCTGCTGTAGATGTCCCTTTTAGAACACTTATTTCACCTACAGAGAACTATTTGTTGAGTGTCTGTTTATCTCTCTCACTGTTCTATAGCCCACCTGCCTGGCACAGAGAAATATTGTTACATGAATGAATTTATAAAAGGGACCTACCTCTTCTCCATAGGTGGGAAGTAGACGGCTCCTCGTACAGTGTGTTGGTAGCAGCAGCTTCTGTTGTCTGCAGTCGGGAAGATCCTGAATAGCCCAGCTTCAGAACTGCTGCTGTTTATAACTTGAAAGACTGTTTTAAGAGGTTGCCGGGATTCCGTTCAGCAATCTTTTTGAGGACTTAGTTGCTGCCAGCCCCTGTGTTTGTTGCTGGGAGTAGAGAGTGAATAAAATTGCATCCCATTCTGCTGAGAGCTTAAGGTTTGGCAGGAGAGACAAGTAAGTGAGACAGTTAGTCTTGCCGTGTATGTGTGGCAAGAGCAAGAATGAAAGTGCGTGTGGTGCTTGGATGTTTGATTGCGCCTGGTGTTGGGCGTCTGAGAGGGCCTGCCAGTCAGCCCTGGCTGTGAGCAGCGTGGTTCTTTACCCCAGGATGCCCTACAAACAGCACCGTGTTCTCTGGGCACCGCCGTGTGGAGAAGGTTGGCCAGCACTGCCGTCCGTGTTAATGCTGCTGCCGCTTGATTTGGACTTGGGATGAGTAAATTTTCGAGATCCAGCAGAGAAGGAAGAATTAAAGGGCATTTCAGGAAAGCATAATGCCTGGGCGGGCATAGCGGAAGTTTGGAAGTCTGTGCTTGTTTGGGACGGGGCGCTGGAGTTGTTTGGTGTGCGTGTTGCAGGGTAGGGCCCCTAGGACAAGCGGATCTGTTTGAGAAGTGCTGTTATGGATACAAAGCATTGTCTTGAGAGTGTTTATAGACCACAGTGTCCACTTTATAAACACCTGGCCCACCCACAGGCTCAGGGGGTGGGTCCCTCACAGTCCATAGTTTTTAGTGACCACCTTTCTGGAGCTGGAGGCAGAGACATAGTGACAGGCCTTTGTTTTCTTGTTCTTATTTCTAAGTTTGTACACAAAGATTCTTACAAAGGTTTTAAACTTTCTTATTTAGATTTTTTTTAAATATATTTTATTGATTTTGTACAGAGAGGAAGGGAGAGAGATAGAGAGTTAGAAACATCGATGAGAGAGAGTCATCGATCAGCTGCCTCTTGCACACCCCCTACTGGGGATGTGCCCGCAACCAAGGTACATGCCCTTGACCGGAATCGAACCCGGGACCTCTCAGTCCCCAAGCCAACGCTCTATCCATTGAGCCAAACCGGCTTCGGCTCATTTAGATTTTTGATGAACTGTCTGCAGTGGAAAAAATATTTAATTATGTCACTTCAGGATTTGTGGTCACTATATCCCTGGAGTGGAAGGTGGTTTGGTAAACACGAACCATTGGGAGTTGGGTGTGGAGGATAATAAGGGCTGTTTTAGCCCTGAAGGCTTAGGTTTAGAGACAGACACATCTGGATTTAAACTCCACTTTTTACTTGCATGGCCTGGATAAAGTCACTTATTTCTCCGCAGCACTAAATGAAAAGTACTTTCTTTGCAGAATTGTTAGGAGGGTTAAGTAGGATAATCTACATAAACATGCTTAGCACATGGTAGATACTCAGTAAGAATAGCTGTCATTTTTCTACCTTTTTTTTTTTTTTTTCAGATGCCACAGTAAATCACCTCCAGTGTGATTGGCAATTCACAGTGGCAGATGCTTCTGTTTCCATGATCTCTTTTGCTATGGAATATGTGACGTTGTGACAAAACGGAATTGGGAGGAAGATTTTAGAGTTTTCAGTCTTGGAATCCCAGCTTAATCACCAGTATTTCCTGGCTGAGTTACCTAGGCCAGTGGTCAGCAAACTCCTTCGTCAACAGAGCCAAATATCAACAGTACAACGATTGAAATTTCTTTTAAGAGCCACATTTTTTAAACTTAAAATATATAGGTAGGTACATTGTTAATTAGGGTACTCCTAAGCTGGCCTTTGCTAAAAACTCAAGAGGTCAAAGAGCCGCATGTGGCTCGAGAGCTGCAGTTTGCCAACCACTGACCTAGTATAACTTAACCTCTCTGAACTTCAGTTTCCCCGGATAGAAGGAGGCTGTGCGTATAGGATTGCTATAAGGTTAAATGAGAATCACCTGTTTAATCCATTACAGAAGGTCCTGGGGGGGGGGGGGGGGGTATTTTCTCCTTAACTTTTAAAGAAAGCCGATTAATGAATGCAGATTGTTATTGAGGGTGGGTGGCTGGGTTGAGTGTAGGGTTTTAGATACCTTTCTTCCCTTTGATTCAGAACAAAGCTTGTATTGTCTTAAACCCTAAGGGATTAATTTAGAGTGGCTTATGTAAGAATGTTTGCATTTGTTTGAGGCCTTGGCTGCTAGCAGAGGGCCAGAGTGTTGTTTGGGGCTGGGTGTTTAGCAGTTAGCTTATGCTTCCTTTCTGCAGCCTTTGTACCTACAGTAAGTGTTAGCTCTTAGGTCGACTTAGTGTGGCCAGACTTCTCCGCTGCAGGTAAGAAAAAGCCCAAACACCAGCCCAGGTGGAAAAGGGTACTTATTACTCTTAACTGAGAAGTCCTGGTGTACCAGCCTCAGGCACAGCTATCCCAGACAACTAAACTATGTCACCAGTATTTTCTGTCTCCGCTCTGCTTTCCTCCGTGTTGGTTTCTCTCTCAGGCAGGCAGGAGTTCCAGGCGTCCATGCTACTCTCTTAACCAACACCTGAAAGGTGCTATCTCTTTGCACACAGCTCCAGCAAAAGATCTGAAATGGATTTTTGTCCAGACTTGGCTCACATTTTTCTTCCTAACCAGTCGTGGTGGTCAGGGAGGATGTCATATTTTCTTTTTTTTTTTTTTTTTTTATTTAATATATTTTATTGATTTTGTACAGAGAGGAAGGGAGAGAGATAGAGAGAAGCATCGATGAGAGTCATCGATCAGCTGCCTCCCGCACATCCCCCACTGGGGATATGCCCGCAACCAAGGTACATGCCTTTGACCGGAATCGAACCCGGGACCTTTCAGTCCCCAAGCCGACGCTCTATCCACTGAGCCAAACCGGTTTCGGCAGAGGATGTCATATTTTCATTGGCCCAGGCAGGATACTCAGTGGAGCCAAAGTGAGGGACGGCTTCCCAAAAAGAAATTGTAGAGAAGGTCTCAGGCCAGACACTCAGTGGTTGCTACTGTGATGGTATTAGGCCAGCTTTTCTGCAAATAGTGAATATTAAACGCTGCACAATATATTGGAAGAAGGAAAAAAAACAAACACCTATTTGAGGGTCCTGGGGAGTAACCAGAGCAGGCCGTCACCGGACAGGAGTGGGTGCCCAGCAGAAAGGAACGACATGGTGAGTTTCCTACTTGTTTGTTGTGTATCTGACGCCTCGTGGACATTATGACCAAAGTGCATCTTTGATAGCCACAGAGAAGGAGTTCCTAATATTTACATAAAGAATCGTGTTTGAGGCATCGTCCTGTGCACTGAGAGGTCACCAGTTCAGTTCCTGGTCAGCACATGCCCAGGTGCGGTGCAGTGTGTGCAGGAAGCACTGGTCGGTGTTTCTGTCACATCAGTGTGTTGCTTTTTCTCCCTCTCCCTCTTTCTGTAAAATCAGTTTTTAAAAATATTTTTAAAAGTAGTTTTTTGAGGTGGTAAGCACACAAGACAGTGTGCAGATGAGGTGTTGTAGAACTGTGCACTGAAACCTGTATAATCCGGTTGACCAGTGTGACCCCAATAAACTCAGTAAAAAGTAAAAACAAAACAACAGCAAAAAGTAGTTTTACCCAAATGTCCATCAGCTGGTGAATAGATGAACAAAATGAGGTCTGTCCATACAGGGGAATATTATTCAGCCATAACAGAAATGAGGTACTGCTACATTCTACAATGTGGACGAACCATGAAAACGTTCTGCTAAGTGAAGGAAGCCAGTCATAAAAGGCTGCATCGTGTATGATTCTGTTATATGAACCGTCCAAAAATGGGCAAATCCATAAAGACAGAACTAGCATAATGGTTCCCAGTGACTGAGCGGAGGCGGGGATGGGGAGTGACTGCTGGTGAGTGAAAGTTCCTCCTTGGGGAGATGAAAATATCCTGAGCCGAGACCGGTTTGGCTCAGTGGATAGAGCGTCGACTTGGGGACTGAAGGGACCCGGGTTCGATTCCGGTCAAGGGCATGTACCTTGGTTGCAGGCATATCCCCAGTAGGGGGTGTGCAAGAGGCAGCTGGTCGATGACTCTCTCTCATCGATGTTTCTAACTCTCTGTCTCTCTCCCTTCCTCTCTGTACAAAATCAATAAAATATATTTAAAAAAGAAAAAGAAAAGAAAATATCCTAAGACAGTGGTAATGGTTACACAGTTTTGTGAATTATATCTAAATTAAGCTGTTCTTTTAAAAATCTGCCAGGCTTCTGAACTAGGCAAGCGTGGGGCACACCCCGAGCAGCTCAGCTAGTACAGATCTCAGCTGCTGCCTACCTCGGGGAAGATGTTGGGAGTTTGAGTTCAGTTATGTTTAAAAATACCAGAACAGTGGCTCCCTCTGTGGGTAGAACTGGACGGTGTGGCCTTCTCCGTCGCCGGGAAGGAGAGAGAGTGCTAGGAGCCAGAAAGGCAGTGGGGCCTGGAGCCTTGCAGGACTTGCCAGCCTCGTGGTTCAGGAACGGGGATAAGATCAGCTGGAGCCCTGCCCTCGGCTGGCAGCAGCGGGAGCTGTGGCCTCACTCAGGGGTAGGTCATGTGTGGTTCCAGTCCCGGTACCTCTGGCCTGCTGGCATTGCACCAGTCCGCATGGCATTCTCATCGCAGTGAGCCTGGGAGACCTTTGCCTCTGCATAGAGTGTGTTTTCTAAAAAGATTCAAGTTCACAGCTGACCAGATCTGGAGGCAGCAGTAGTTTGTTGTGAAACCATAAGCGAGGTGGTTCCCCGAGGCAGACCCAGTGACCCTCCGGAACCCGGCCACTCCTCTCAGCACCTCAGGATTCTTCCCTGCGGGTAGAAATGAGGAGGCATGGAGCCTTCCAAGTCACAAGTCACCGTCTATATGTGTGCGGAGGCCATCATTGGTAGAGGGGCCTCCTTTCCCGCTGCGGCCTGCTGCTTGTAGGGTGAGGCCTGCCTGGTTCGGTACATGACCTCCCGCCCCTCCAGGCCATGAGGTCAGCTTTTTCATTTTGGTTTGCTGAGCATTTCAGCCTCATCTCGTGTGTCTGTCTCAGCAACCACCGCTTATAAAAGGTTTTAAGAAATGCACACTTTACCATATATATATATATATATAGTGTCACTGGAGAAGCTAATACCCAAAAAACAATAGTGATTGCCTCTAGGGTGGGAGCTATTGTACTGGTTGAGCTGTGTGAGCATTTCTTACCACGCACATATGTTATCTGCTCAAAGGGTTTTCCCCTTTGAACCAGCGCCGTGAGGCAGAGATGGGATGATATTGTGGTGATGTGATGAGAACCTAAACTAAGACAGTGGCAGGTGGGGAAGAGAGGGCTGGCTTTGAGATAAATTTCTGCGGCAAATAGAAGTTGGTTGAGACTGATGACAGAGACCGTGGCTGGAGATGATCAAGTAGGAGGAATCCGTGAGTGGGAAGCTGGCTGGACAGGGATGGATGTCTTTTTTTTTTTTTTTTTAATTTTATTGATTTTTTTACAGAGAGGAAGGGAGAGAGAGAGCTAGAAACGTCGATGAGAGAGAAATATCGACCAGCCGCCTCCTGCACACACACACACCCCCACAGGGGATGTGCCCGCAACCAATGTACATGCCCTTGACCGGAATCGAACCTGGGACCTTTCAGTCCGCAGACCGACGCTCTACCACTGAGCCAAACTGGTTTCGGCAGGGATGGATGTCTTAACCGCATCTGGAAGGCAGAGCAGTGCCAGCAGGAAGAGAGGTGTCTGAGGGGCCTCTTGGCAGAGCTGTTCGGCTGGCAGCTGAGTTGCAGCCTGGAGAGAGGGCAGGGCTATGGAGATTGACGTGGACGCTTCAGAATATGGGGGCGTAAAGCCAGCGAGCATGCTCGTGCTTGGAGAATGGAGAGGATCCCAGGGCGAACTCACCCTGGACCGGAGGAGGAGGGCAGCAGGAGGCCATGAAGGTGGTCAGAGAAACGGGAGGCTGGAGGCCTGGAGCCCCGAAGAGCAGAGTTGTGGGAAGCAGTGTGTCTCCGGTGTTCGTGCAGCGGGCAGTCCAGGAGGTCACTGAGGACTGGGAGAGCCAGTGTGACGGGTTGAGGAATGAATGAATGGGTTGAGGAAGGATGAGGGGCCCCTGTGTGCCAGCTCTGTGCTAGGTTCAGAACATAAAGTGGCCCTTGTCCTCAGAGATTGGACTGGCTAGGGGAGGAGGCAAATACAAAGAGAATTTTGATATGACTTGGTAGGCACAGTGGTGGAGAGAGGCTGAGGGTTTTATGAGAAAGCAGAGAAGGTAATTTAACCCAGACTCGGATTAGTGGAGCAGGTGACTTGCTAGTAAGCCAGGCCTTAGAGATTAAGTCATTGAATCTGAGGATTAGGCTGTGGGAAAGACACCCCAGATGGAGGGAACAACATGGGCATAGGGCACGGAGGTAAGAAAGTTCAGGCCTGTGGTCAAAAGCGGAGCCGTTCGGTATCGCTGGGATGTGAAATGTGAGGCAGACAGCGGTGAGAGGTGATGGAGTTGGCAGAGGGTGGAAGCCTCCTCGTGTGCTGCCTCCTTGCTGTCTCACCTTGTTATTAGCTCCAGCAGTCCTTCAGTGGATGCAGTGGGAAAGGATTTTCTATTATAAGGTCATGTCATCTGCAAATAGAGATAGTTCTGCCTGTTCCCTTCCGATCCGGATTGTTTTATTTCATTTTGCTGCCCATTTGCCCTCACTAGAACCTGCAGAACAAATTTGGCTTGTCCCTGATCTGGGGGAAGCCGTCAGTCTTTCCCACTCTGTGGTGTTAGCTGTGACTGTTCAAACACGTCCTCTACCAGGCTGGGAGTCCCTCTGATCCTAGTGTGAATATTACCTTTACAGTAAACAGAAGCAGAGATTTTAAGATGTGACTATTTAAGTACCTGGCGTTTACAGTTTATTAGTGAGGGGGGTTTACTCAGTGTGAATCTGATCTTTGTGGATATAACTTATTCTTTTTGTTACCTTTTATTGTCTTTTATTCTCTTAATAATTACCTTTTAGTGCATTTTATTTTCATCAATAAATTTGTCTTTCCTTAGGTCAGATTTTTTTAGTAATTTCTCTTCCCTCTATCACAAAAAAAAAAGTCGCAGTGCTTTATGACATGGAAATTGTCTTTATGTGATATCTTATTTGAATCCCCCTTTTACAGAATTTTTTTAATGGAGACCAGAATACTGAAATCATTTGTCAGCAGAGCAGGGCCCTGGGCTGCTGCTTTGGGAAGTGACTCAATAAATACTCCTTAGAACTCGGCTCGACATATTGAATGCAAACATCATTGGCTCAGTGTAGAATTTCAGGGCTACTTTCCACTGCATTCGATTCCTGGGGCTGCTGCAACGTATTACACAGGCTGGGCCTGCTTAACACAGCAGGCATGTGTTCTCTCACAGTTCTAGAATTCCCAAATCCAGGGGCTGGCTTGGTTCCAAAATCAAGGGTGGGTTTCTTCACGGGTCTCAGGACAATCTGTTCCTTGCCTCTCCCAGCATCCAGTGGTGGCTAGCAGTCCTTGGCAGTAATCCTGGTTTGCAGCTGCCTAAATCCAGTCTCTGCCTCTGCCACATGGCCGCCTTGGCCTCTGTGTGTGTCTCTCCCCCGGGCTCTGTGTGTGTGTGTGTGTGTGTTCTTTTTGTTCTTTTTTTTTTTAATATATTTTATTGATTTTTTTATAGAGAGGAAGGGAGAGGGATAGAGAGCTAGAAATATCGATGAGAGAGAAACATTGATTAGCTGCCTCCTGCACATCCCCTACCGGGGACGTGCCCACAACCAAGGTACAAGCCCTTGACCAGAATTGAACTGGGACCTTTAGTCCGCAGGCCGACGCTCTATCCACTGAGCCAAACTGGTTTTGGCTCTGTTCTCTTCTTATAAGGACACCAGTCATGTTGGATTAAGGGCCCACCTCTACTCTAGATGACTTGATCTTAACGTACATCTTAATTACACCTACAAAGCCCCTGTTGCTAAGTAAGTCACATTCACATGTATCAGGGGTCAGGACTTCATCATATCTTTTGTATATTTTTTAATTGACTTCAGAGAGGAAGGGAGAGGGAGAGATAGAAACATCAACGATGAGGGAGAAGGAGAGAGAGACAGAAACATCAACGATGAGGGAGAGAGAATCATTGATTGGCTGCCTCCTGCATGCCCCACCCTGGGGATCGAGCCTGTACCTTGGGCATGTGTCCTTGCCGGGAATTGAACTTGGTCTTCTGTTCAGAGGTCACGCTCAACCACTGAGCCACGCCAGCCCGGCAACTATCCTTTTTGAGGGAGTAGCAGTTTAACCCACAACAACACTAACAAGGTTCTCTCTGTTCCCCATCCGCCCAGGCGCCACATGTACCATGGCCCTCGTGTCGGCAGATTCCCGCATCGCAGAACTGCTCACCGAGCTCCATCAGCTGATCAAACAAACGCAGGTAACAGGCCACAGCCCTCCATCCCTACAGGGGCACGTGGGCTGTGCTCTGAGCTGTGGAGCAGGGGGTGGGGCTGTTCTCAGAGAGATTGGACGGACAGGACCCAAGGTGATGTCAAGAAGGTGAGAGGAGGGCAGGACTACCATTCCCGTTGGATTATCCATCGTGTGAGATTTTAACTCACATGCCTTACAATTCACCCATTTAAAGTCTATGATTCATTTGTTTTTAATATATTCAAAGAGCTGTGCAACCATCACCATGACAACTTCCGGACATTTCATTGCTTGACAAAGTGCCCCTATCCAAAAGCAGTTTTTCCTTTCTCCTCCCAGCCTGACCTGGTAAATAAAGATACTCTTTTGAGGCAAGAATGTCCCAGAGTTTAGAGGTTCTCTCTCAGAAGCTGGTCCGAGGCCAACCCTTTTTTGGAATGTGCAGGGTTTGAAAGCCCAGGCTTGCTGAGTTAATTAATCATTGACTGCGAACACGGCCCCCTGGCCCTGGGCTAGGCTCTTCTACAGCAAAACAATCAAGTTCGAGCATCTGAATTTAGCATAGTATGTATATCAGAGCGTCAGCAATAATGGCGCGTGGAGCGGCCTGCGGGGCAGAGAGGAACTTAGAGAAATGACCTCCACACCTGTGAGGTATGGTGCACCACTCTCTCCCATAGCCTTCCACTTACAAAACGAGGGGGTGTCTGTGCACAGCGCGCCGCAGTATGGCGGGTTGCACTGCCCATTGGGTCCGTTGTCCCTTTGTGGGCATTCCATCAGGATGGAGCAGTTCCTAGAAATCCTTCCCGGACAGTATCCTCTGTAGTGGCCGTAACCTGGAAAGTAAGTCAAAAGGCCCTGGCACACATGGTCCTAGCGAAAGAACCCCGTCTGAAAGGTCACAGGCTGTGTGATTCCCCCGAGCTGGCCTTCCGGAAGAGCCAAAATGAGAGAGTAAGAAGACCCGGGGCTCGGAGGAGGGGGCATGAGGAGGGGAGCACGGGGTTTTTAGGGAGTTGAAGTCATTTTTCTTTTTTTTTATAATATATTTTATTGGGGTTTTTTTACAGAGAGGAAGAGAGAGGGGGATAGAAAGTTAGAAACATCGATGAGAGAGAAACATCGATCAGCTGCCGCTTGCACACCCCCTCCTGGGGATGTGCCCGCAACCAAGGTACATGCCCTTGACCAGAATCGAACTTGGGACCCTTGAGTCCACAGGCCTACGCTCTATCCACTAAGCCAAACTGGTTTTGGCAAGTCATTCTTTAGGATACCCTGATGGTGCACTCTTGACCGTGCGTTTGTCAAAACCCATGGATTGCACAACACAGAAAGTGAATCTAACGTAATCTATGGGCTTTAGTTAATAATTATCGGTCTGGGTTCATTAGCTGTAACAAGTGTACCCCACTAATGCAAGAGGTTCATTAGGGAAACTGCAGGGGAAAGCAAGTACCTGGGAACTCTGCTACCTGCTCAGCTTTCCTGTAACCCTACAACTGCTCTAAACGTGGTTCGTTGATAAAATGTTAAAGCGCCAAAACCGGTTTGGCTCAATGGATAGAGCATCGGCTTGCGGACTGAAGGGTCCCGGGTTCGATTCCGGTCAAGGGCATGTACCTTGGTTGCAAGCACATCCCCAGTAGGGGGTGTGCAAGAGGCAGCTGATCGATGACTCTCTCTCATCGATGTTTCTAGCTCTCTGTCTCCCTTCCTCTCTGTATAAAATCAATAAAGTATATTTTAATAAATAAATAAAATGTTAAAGCTAAAGCAAAGTAGAATTGCTGGAATTCCATTCGAGCTTCAGCGATGAGACCAGTTTACCATCAGGTCATCAGACCAGATGCCTCTCGGAGGGCTGCGCTCAGGCGCGAAGGCTCCCGTTTGCCTCCATCCGGTTCTAAAAGCAGGAGTGCTCTTGGCACGTAGATGGCTTCACCCTTTTGGCATCGGGCGTACCTGAGCCAATACTATCCTCCACCTCTGAGACTGTCTTGAGGCGTTAATATAATATTGAAATTACAACATTGTGTAACCCACTCATCCTCAGCCACTATTTCTCCTCTCCATTTGTCACTGATTTTACTCAGACTTTTCCACCCTTGGAAGGATGTAGGTCCAGCCACAGTGCCGGTCAGATTGCAGGCAGCGGTGCCCGTCTGGCAGGTGTCATGTCCTGTCTCCTCCCCCCTCCTTGGTCATGCCCATTTGGTAGGGTGGGGTTATACAGCACAGAACTTAGTGGGCTGTTTAGACCACTGGGCAGTATAGCCGCATTCACCACTAACTCCGTGTTGCCGAGTACTTGGGAATTCTGACTACCAATCGCCCATGCATCTGGCACTCTCAGTTGCAGCTGTGGTCGCAGGCCCGCTGATGTGGGGAAGACTGGTACCAGCATCCTTCCCCATCCCCCTTTCCCAGGTGAACTGATCGTAGATGTTGGTGTTAATTTCTGGACTCTCAGCTCAGTCCATTGTTCTGTATGCCAGCCTCACAGCATTTGACATCTGTAGCTTTGTCATAAATTAGAAATCAGGAAATGAGTCCTCCAGTGTTTCTGTTTTTCTTTCAAGATTGTATTGGCTATTCTGAGTTACTTGAATTTCCATGTGGATTTTAGAATAAGCTTGTCAATCTCTACAAAGAAGTCAGCTGGAACTTTTGGGGGCCATTGTATTGAATCCGTAGGTCAGTTTGTCTTTTCTGATGAAGGAGAGCCGTAAATCTAGTTTATGATTTCACTTTAATGCCTTTTGTAATGCTTTCGCAGTAGTGGGGGAGGGAAGTCCTTTTAAACTGGTCCTGAATCCAGACCTAGTGAGTGAGGGCAGCATGGATGGGCCTGGGCCTGGGTGAGGGTGCCAGCGGGATGGGGCCTCGCTCCCGTCCTGCTGACCTCCTCCTCGCAGGAAGAGCGCTCGCGGAGTGAGCACAACTTGGTGAACATCCAGAAGACCCACGAGCGGATGCAGACGGAGAACAAGAGTGAGTAGCTGGGCTCTGGAGAGGAAGGGGACGAGGAGCGATGTGGCCACGACTGCTGTCGTTCCAAAAGGGGCTTTTGTGTGAATCTGCCGTCATCCAAGATGAGCTGCCCCATAGGCCAGAGGGACAGTTTCCCTCGGAGACAGACACCAGACTGCCTAGCCCTGAGGAACCTTAACTCCCCCAACTCCGGGGACTGGAAAGTCAGTGAAATGAGGCTGCGTCTAGGGAAACACCCTGGAGGGGACAGGCACTGGCTAGCGGGTGTTTTCTAGGGAGCTTCCCTCCCCGGGGGGCACCGAGGGCCCCCTGGCCAGGCTCCTGGCCTTGGGCTTTCCGGCTCTGAGCAGCTTGAGATCGCTGTCTGTTCCCATGTGCTGAGAAGGACTTCCTGGGTGTCATGCTCTGGCAAAGGAAAGAAAGTCCTCCCTTGGATGCAGTGACGGCATTTGTACCGGATGAACTGTGAACGCCCTGTACATGCGGTTCAGGTCCTCGGGGAGCACTCTGCGCCAGTGGCGCTCATGCCTCGGTCCGTGGCTTCTCTGCCTCCCAAGGCCTGATTCCAGCGCACGGGAAGCAGTGCCAAGGACTGCCAGCTGCCCTCGCCCACGCTGTCTCCTGTGCTTACTCTGCAGTCTCTCCCTATTACCGGACAAAGCTGCGCGGCCTCTACACAACCGCCAAAGCCGACGCCGAGGCCGAGTGCAAGTGAGTACCAGCCGCTGCCTGCCATCGCCGCCCACCGCGCCCAGGTGCTGGGCTGCAGGGACCTGTGGCCCATGGCCCGGCTGCCTTCCTGGCACGGATGAGCCCCTCCCTTAGGGCCGCCTTCCCTAGAACCCACTTCCATACCACTCCCCACTCCCTAGCAGCAGGCAGGGGTCAGGTCCCAGCACGGCCACTTACCTGTCACGTGACCTTGGCAACCACTCCAGCTGAGACTCAGTTGCTCCATCACTAAAATGGGAACGATAACTACCTATAGAATTGTCGACATAAATGAGACGATGCATGTAAAGTGCCTAAGACTCGTGTTTTACAAACTCTTGACCGTCACTCATATTAGGAAGTGTATTTCTCTATTGTGGTGGCAATAACAGGAACAGGAACAGGAACAGCTCTTCGTGGCCTTACTGTGCCAGGTGCTGGGACAGTCGTTTCTATAGTTACCGCATTGAACCCTCAGAGCAACTCTAGGATGGGATCACCCCTTTAACAGATGAGGAAACTGAAATACCAGAGGGTTGTGTAATCTGCCAAAAGACACAACTAGTAACGGGGGAGCCCAACGTTAAACCAGAGCCCTCATTCTCTAATGTTTCTTTCTGGCTTTTGGAGAGAGGAAGGGAGAGGGAAGGAGAGAGAGAAACATGATGAGAGAGGAGCATTGATTGGCCGCCTCCTGCACATCCCACACTAGAGATCAAGCCTGCAGCCCGGGCTTGTGCCCTGACCAGGAATCGAGCCACAACTCCTGGTTCATAGGTCAATGCTCAGCCACTGAGCCATGCCGCCCAGGCTCAATCATCTCTTTCTTAAAAGGCCTCGAAGTCTCCCACTAGCAGCAGGAGTCACAGGGCAGCAGGCTCAGAGACCTCCCTTTCCATAGACGGGGAGGACCGGTGGCCGTTCCCAGGTGGGACCCAGGAACTGACTAACCTTGGTGCAAAGGGCATTTCTCCAGGTGCAGCTCAGTAAGGCGTAGTGTAGGAGTGGGTAAGCCAGTGCACACAAAGGTCGTTTAGCTTTCCAAGAGCCGGAGGACTCAGGCTAAATGTCACGTCCCTGGAGGAGAGAGTGGATGCCTGGGGCCTGGGCAGCAGACCGCTTGCTGGCAGGCACCTGCGACGTGGCTGTTGGTCCATATTGCTGACCAGAGGCGTGCTCTGGTCTTGGCACATCTCAGAAGCGTCCGCTCTCCCTGCTCACCCAACACACCTCGGGATGGCACCGAAGCCACGTGCCTGAGGAGCTGACGGTTAGGACCTCGATCCGCCTGCAGCACCTCCCCATGCAGCTCCGCTGGGCGGCCGGGGGCAGCGGGCCGCCGCACGGTCCTCCTGCCGCAGATGGGCAGAGGCGGGGGCATGGGGAGGCAGCTCGTTTCACCTGGGTAATGCCCTGGCTCAGCTGCTTTGTGTCTAGCTTTGCGAGCACAACTCCCAGAGGAGACCCAAAAGGAATTAATTTTGCCTTTTTAAAATGTCACCCTGATCATGCAGCAGTGTTGGAGTATTTTAAAGGGCCCTTCCTTCCTCCTGGCCAGCAGGGCGGTGCTGAGGTTGACCGGAGGACGGTTAGGGCTCAGAGCTCTTGGCTGGATTCCAGCAGAATGTCAGCCAGAGGAATCCCTCCTCCGCTGGCGCAGGTGAAGCGGCCTCTTGGGGTGGCCTCCCTGCGCATTGCTGCCAGGCTGGCTGGCTGGCTGCCTGTGCCTGTCGGGTCGGACCATGCTCTACCTGGCAGGCGACGTGAAGCTTTTATGGTTCTGAGACGGAGAAGTTTCAGTTCTAGGAAACTACTTTTTAAATGGTAACTGATCTTAAAACATTGTCACCTCAGATCTCTGCAGCGAAATCTGCAATAACTAGAACAGCGCTTGCCAACTGGCGGTCCATGAGGTCTGAAAGGTCGGCGACTGCTGGCTTCAGGAAGGCTTTGGAGCAGCGGTCACCAGCCAGCGGTCCGCGGACCACGGGTCCCGGAGGTCCCAAAGGCTGGCGACCCCTGCTTTCGGACATGGAATTACATTCCTCTCCTAGACATTCATAACAGATTACCAACGGCTCTGCTAAGTTCTGCAAAGGAGTTTTTGAAATATGTTTTTATTGATGCCAGAAGGGAGAGGGAGAGAAACATCAATGATGAGAGAGAATTATTATTTTTTTTTTAAATATATTTTATTGATTTTGTACAGAGAGGAAGGGAGAGAGATAGAGAGTTAGAAACATCGATGAGAGAGAGTCATCGATCAGCTGCCTCTTGCACACCTCCTACTGGGGATATGCCCGCAACCAAGGTACTTGCCCTTGACCGGAATCGAACCCGGGACCTTTCAGTCCCCAAGCCGACGCTCTATCCACTGAGCCAAACTGGTCCCGGCGAGAGAGAATTATTGATCCACTGCCTCCTGCATGCCCCCTACCAGGGATCGAGCCTGCAACCCAGGCATGTGTCCTGACCGGGAATCAAACCAGGGCCTCCTGGTTCCTAGGTTGGTGCTCAAGCGCGGAGCCACACTGGTCGGGCTTTTAAGACTAAAGCCACCATGTAGGGTTCCTGGTTTTCACAAGGCTTGTCTGCGTTCTGGACCAGAAGAGGAAGTCCATGCTTTGTGTGCCTCGTCCAGACCTTTTCTTTCCCTCCCGCCCTCAGCATCCTCCGGAAAGCCCTGGATAAGATTGCGGAAATCAAGTCTCTGTTGGAAGAGCGGCGGATCGGTGAGTTAGAGACAAGTTAGCTCGGTGTCCTTGACCAGGCGGAGTGAGGGTTCCTGAGAGCCGCAGCCATGTCTTCCTGCGGGGGAGCCTGTACCTCAGCCGGGTGCCATGGCTGTGACAGGGAGGGGGCACAGGGCAGCCTGGGACCGGGAAGGGGATGAGGTGGGTCCCAGGGTCAGAGACAAGGCCTCCCTGTTCTCCCTCTGCAAACCACGCTGGTGTGCCCCAGTCCCTCAGGTTTCTCTCCGTCCTCGCTTAGCGGTCACCTGCATCCCCAGGCCATTTCTTGCTGAGGGGAGAGGCTGGCTATTAGAGCCACAGCGGGTGTCTTGGAGCCAGCCTTTCAGATGGGGCTTTCAGGGTGCTGGCTGCCATATCGCTTCAGATGCTGCCCCACCTCTCCCTCGCCCTTCCAGTGAACCCAGGGGCAGCCTCCTCGCCCACGATACTGTCACCCTGCCAGCTGGGTTGAAGTTGACTGGGTGTATTGAGCCATGCCCACAGAGGTAAGCGCTCTGGCTCTGTCCACATTTGATACTTTTTTTTAAATATATTTTATTGGTTTTTTACAGAGAGGAAGAGGGATAGAGAGTTAGAAACATCAATGAGAGTCATCCACCAGCTGCCTCTTTTTTTTTTTAATATATTTTATTGATTTTTTACAGAGAGGAAGAGAGAGGGATAGAGAGTTAGAAACATCAATGAGAGTCATCCACCAGCTGCCTCTTTTTTTTTTTTTTTAATATATTTTATTGATTTTTTACAGAGAGGAAGAGAGAGAGATAGAGAATTAGAAACATCAATGAGAGTCATCGACCAGCTGCCTCTTGCATGTCCCCCACTGGGGATGTGCCGCAACCAAGGTACATGCCCTTGACTGGAATCGAACCTGGGACCTTTCAGTCCGCAGACCAACACTCTGTCCACTGAGCCAAACTGGTTTCGGCTTGATAGTTCTTTTAACTTTATGCTTAATTATATTAATAGAAAATGCATGTAAGTATGCACACGGCTCAATAAAACTTTCACTAACTTCACAAGTAGATGTAACCAGCACCCAGATAAGAGACATGACCCGCGCCTCAGAATCCCCCTTTTGCCCTCTTTCCCAAAAGGTATCCACTACCCGTCTCGCCAGGTTAGGTGGCCTGGTGGCCTCTCAGGCCGGGAGCACACCTTGGTGCTGACTCCTCGGGGGGGGCAGGGCATGCTCCCTCCCCTGGGCTCAGGGCGCCCTTCCTTCCCGCAGCGGCCAAGATCGCGGGCCTGTACAACGACTCGGAGCCCCCGCGGAAGACCATGCGCCGGGGCGTGCTGATGACGCTGCTGCAGCAGTCGGCCATGACCCTGCCGCTGTGGATCGGGAAGCCTGGTGACAAGTGAGGGCAGCCCCGGGGAGGGGCGATGGAGGGGAGGAGCTGGGACTGACCCCTCATCCCCCCTCAGGCCGCCCCCACTCTGCGGGGCCATCCCGGCCTCCGGGGACTACGTGGCCAAACCTGGAGACAAGGTGGCTGCCCGGGTCAAGGCCGTGGACGGGGACGAGCAGTGGATCCTGGCCGAGGTGGTCAGTTACAGCCACGCCACCAACAAGTGAGTGGCTCGCCCGCCCCGTGGGAACTGGGACGCGAGCGAAGAGCCGGCTCCTTCGGCGACTTCCTCCTCACCCTCCTCTCAGCCCCGATGGGCGATGGGCGTGCACCGCCCTGCATCCTCTGCTCCTTTCCTCGCCCGCAGGTATGAGGTCGATGACATTGATGAAGAAGGCAAAGAGTGAGTGTGCCGGCCAGGCGGGGCGGGCAAGGGAAGCCGGGGAGAGCCCTGCTGCTGGGAAGGAGCCTCCACCTGCCATGGGTTTGACCCGAGCGCCCCTCCAGGAGGCACACCCTGAGCCGGCGGCGCATCATCCCCCTGCCCCAGTGGAAGGCCAACCCCGAGACGGACCCCGAAGCCTTATTCCAGAAGGAGCAGCTCGTGCTGGCCCTGTACCCCCAGACCACCTGCTTCTACCGGGCCCTGATCCACACACCCCCACAACGGGTAAGGCAGCCCCCGGGGGGCGTCCAGGGGTCAGGGGTCGGTCCCTTCCCTTTGAGCTGGGAGGGTCCTGAGCTGTCACCCCTCCAGCCTGTCCTCCAGGCGGTGCCAGCCGCCCTGCAGAGCTTAGGAAGCCCCGGTGTGCCCTCTAGTCTAGTTTGCTTTTGCATTGAGGTGGGGAGCCTGCGCCCCGAGGTGGAAGCGCCTTGCTCAGGGCCAGTCTTCACCCCCGACCCCTGCCCTGATGGCAGGTTAAAGGCTAGTGTCCCTCTTCCCCCAGGACCCCCTGCCTGCGCCCACTGCTTGTCTAGTCCCCTTAGCACAGGGCCCTTCCCTTGTGGCCGCCTGTGGCTAGCGAGGCCTTTTCCGTGCTGTTCATCCCCATCCTCGGCCCTTGGTTGCTGGGCTCTGTGGCAGGGAGTAGGTTAAACATCTAGAGTGAAGGTGAGACGGGAAAGGCCAGGAGCCCACACACCAGAGGTTCCTATCGGTCTAGGCTTGGGGGGAAGAGGGACGCTGGCCTGGGGCTTTCTGACCAGCCCCCCCTCTGCCTCCGCTGCAGCCCCAGGATGACTATTCGGTCCTGTTTGAAGACACTTCCTATGCAGATGGTTACTCCCCTCCCCTCAATGTGGCCCAGAGGTATGTGGTGGCTTGTAAGGAGCCCAAGAAAAAGTGATGCAGGCTGGCAGTCTCCTGCCACCTGGAGGGGGCATGCGACAGACATGACGTGAGGAAATAAATGTTCTTCCCCTTCGCCACGTCTCCTGGGTTCTTACCTTCCCCGCGGAGGGCAGGTTGGGGAACTGGGGCCCATCTGGTCCCAGTGGCATTGACTTTCTTTCGGCTCAGGTTTGCGTTCCTTCCAATAGACACACTCCACGCAACACAAACTGCTTTATTCTTGAGGCCCGAGCCGGGCCCTCGCACACTCCCGGGGGCGGTCCCATGGGCACCGCTCACAGCTCCGAGTGGAACTTGAGGTCGCAGCCCGCCATCTTCTCAGCGTAGTGGGCATCAAAGCGCTCGTTCTGGGCCACAGTGAACATGGTTTTCCAGTCCCCCGTGATGCCTGGAGGGGGAGAGGAGAGGGAGGGAGAGAGGGAGGGAGGCAGGCTTGAGGTCCTGGCCGAAGCAGAGGCCCCAAGTGGCTCAGGGCCAGCTCTAGCCACTGCTCCCGCCCTCGCCTCCCCAGCGCCCCTCCCGGTGGGCACTCACCTTTCCTCATGAAGGCGGAAATGCTGTGATCCATTAACTCCACGGGGAAGGTGCTGAAGTTAGCCATGGGGTTCTTCTTCATCTCCTTGAACGACGTGTGCCGCACAATGTGATCCACGGTCTCCTCTGGCAGGGAGCGTCCCAGGAACTCCAGAATCTTCAGAATCTCCCTTTTGGGGTTCTGGAGCAGCAGGGGGCGCTCAGTGGAGGCGGGTTGTGCATTGGACAAACAAAAGGGAGGCCCCACCCGAACCGCATGGCCACTTCCGACCCTGCTCCGGGACTCTGGTCCCTGAACTCTGGCCCTCCCGGGCAGAATTAGTTGCCTTCTGCCCTGTGATCTGTTAAGAAGCTGTATCTGGCTCCTCGTGGGTGAGGGCAGGGACAGCCGGGTCATAACCAGGCCCGGGAGAAGCAGCAGCAGTAAAGGGATGATCAGGGACTGCCCTTGGCACTGACTCCAGCGCTGGGAGGTAAGAGCTGTACGGAGTGTGCTGCCATGGGGCAGGGAAGGGGAGGGGTCTAGAGGGCCAGTGTAGGGTCTGCCACAGAGAAGCAGGGCGTGGAAGGCCGTGGCAGTTCCCACGAGACCCTGCACCCCTGCGACATGGAGGGCAGTGGCAGCGGGCCTCACCTTCTGCATGTCCTCGTAGAAGAGGTAGAGAACAGGGTGGGTGCGCCTCAGCTCCCACCACTCCTGCACGTGCTGGTACCAGGACCCATAGGACACTGGGGAGAAGGCAGGGGGCGGGCAGAGGTTGGCATTCGTTCCAGCTGGCTGCCCCTCCGCCCACCCCTCCTTCCTCAGTCAGGCCCACCTTCCCCAGCCATGAACTTCTCCAGGAAGCTGTCCCAGGTGCCGGGCTCAGGGTGCACCTTGGCCATGCGGTAGAAGTGGTAATAGGAGACGGCCACATCCTTTGCGTTCCGGGCCACATAGATCACCTGGAGGGGCAGAAGACACCCCCGCCCCGCCCCGCCCGTCACCGCACCGCACAGCAGGCACTAAACGTTCTTCTAAGCACCACACTCCACCCTGCAAGGGAGGTTCTCTGGGAAACAGGCTTAGGGGCTGACTTGGGTGTGGCCGAGCTGGGATTGAAGCCTGCTCTGCTGCCAGAGTCCTGGCTGGTTCCAGGACTGTATTTTATACTAATCCAATCTTCTCAGCGCCTCTGCTGATCTGAAACAAGGCGGGCGGAATTCCTGGCGGCCCCTCCTCCACAGGCCTGTGAGCACCCAGGCCCTGCAAAGTCTTGCTGTCACTTCCATCTGTCCCACCAGAGCATGAGGTTGAGGACTTCTCCCCCTCTGAGATGAGACCAGGCTTTTGGGGAAGTGAGAACATCTTCCCAGAAGAGAGGGCCAAAGCTGGGTTGGCCCCAGCAGCCTTTTTCTCTAGCTGCCTCTGCCGCTCACCTTGACTTTCTGGTCCAGAAGGTTCTGTGGGACCAGAGCCAGGGGTAAGTGTGTCTTGAGGAGCCGCGGAGCAGGTGTGTCCTTCAGAACCTCCATACCTAAGCCATGGTGGGAAAGTTCCCGTGAGCTGGAGCCCGGGTCCTCCCTCCCTCCCTCCACTCCACTGGCCTCCAGCACCCCACCACACACCTGTGGGACACCCCGGACCCTTGAACTCAAGGAAGGGCACGCGGGTTAAGATGGGAGCCCTCTGACACTTCTTCAAGTCGCCACCCTGGTAGATCATGTCCAGAATCTCGCTCACCCAGGTGGTGCCTGGAGAGGAAAATGGGAGGTAAGCAGGGCTGAGAGAACCCCCTGCTGGCCCAAGGTGGGGACTGCAGCCCAGGAGAGGGGTGGGTGGTCCTCACCACCTACCAGATTTGGGGTAGGTGCTGACGAGCACGTCATCGGGCAAGGGCTGGAAGCTCTGCAGGGCCCCGAGTGCCTCCGCAAAGTACTTGATGAGAGGGATCCCCTTCACATACGTCAGTGGTGGGCGGGTGGCGTCCTGGACCAGCTCCATGCTGCCGAGTCAGGGGCCGGAGTGGGCCAAACTCCCTTAGCAACATCACAACAATGTCTTCTGTTCAGTTGTTTTAAGGTAAGGAAACAGGCTGAGCAACATGCCTCCACTCAGAGCCAGTGAGTGCTGCGCCGGATTCCAGCGGATCTGACACAGTGGGGCCACAGCTCTGGAGGCACCTCGGATTTACCCACACAACTTTTAAAAGCCCCAGTGCCTGCCCAGCTGGACTGGCTCCAGGAGGCCACGGCACATGCTTGCCCTTAGGGTCAGCAGGGCCTGTGGGAGCAGAGCCAGGGCAAGTGTGCTTGAGGAGCCGTGGATCCCCAGTAGGGGGCGTGCAGGAGGCAGTCAATGATTCTCTCATCATTGATGTTTCTCTCTCCCCCTCTGTCCTCTCTGAAATCAATTTAAAAATATTTATTTTTAAATCCCAGTGCCTGGGCTACACCCCGAGCCAATCAGATTGCTCTGGTGGTGGGACCAGGCAATTCCAGTGTGCACTTGGGAAAACTCCTCCGGGGCCTGCCAAGTGTTTTCTTTCGGTTCTTCCTGCTCCATCTGGTCCCAACGGCCCCTCCCAGGCTCTCCTGGGGCTCCCCGAGCTCCTCACAGGGAGAAACCTCCCCACAGCCCCTGGGCCTGAGACACAACCTGCTCAGCCACACTCCACCTTGGCTCAGAGATAAACAGCCAACTGAGCACCTGAGCTGGTTTGGGAGCCATTCTTGTGTGATGAGCAAAACATGCCTCAGCGGGGAGGGAGAAGAACGGGTTCAGGCCAGACTGCGGCTGGTATCGGACCGAGCTGGGATTTCCGGGGGGAAAGGGCAGGGTCGGGTTGAGCTGGATTTCGGGGGAAAGGGCAGGGTCAGTAGAGGCAGGAATAGATCCAACAGTGGGAGGTCTGGCCCAGCCCACCCTAGCCTGGCACTCACCGGATCTCTTCGGACCTTGGCCTGTGGCTCTCGGTTGTGCTGGCACGTAGCGTGAGTGCAGAACTGCAGAGACCTGCAAGTTTTATAGGTCCCGAGTGGGAGGGATTTGGAGCCAGCGCTGAGCCTTGGCTGTCCTCCAGGAATGGGTGGGGTTTGGGGTGGGAGGGCCCCCTCTCTGCTACCCTCATGAGCACCCCAGCTGATACCAAGATTAGACTGGCCAAGAAGTGGGTTTAGTGTGAAGAAAATAAGACAGAATCAACACAAAAGGGCCTGATAGCTTTTTTGTGTGTTTTTGAGCTGTAATCCCGACTTCTGGCTTGCCCTCCAAACTCCAGCTCTGCAGGAGCCAACAGCTTTTTCTAATAAACTGGTCTCCAGAGGACAGCGGAGTGGAGGGGAAAGGTGGCCCCAGGCCAGTCTGAGGAGGAAAGGTTCAGGTCAGGGGCAGCCCACAGGCCCCGGACAGCCCAGGCTGGAGTGATGTGGGTGGGCGGGTGACGGGGTTTGGAGCAGGCACTGCTCAGCAGGCTCTGAGGCAGCACAGAAGGGGAAAGAGCAGGAAGGCTGGGGGCTCATAATCCAGGGAGTGAGCTCATTCCCGTTCCCATGGGCCCTCACCTGGATGGTGGGAGAACAGCCCAGAAGGTGCTTTTCTCTCCCTGGGTTAGAAGGGGGCTTGGCCTCTGTCCTTACTGTTTGGATTAAAGTCCAAAGTCCACTGGGCAGTGGAGGCGGGTGAGCTCTGACTCAAGGGTATGAATCTCCGAGCCATCAACTGTGACCTTGCCGAAACCGGTTTAGCTCAGTGGATAGAGTTTTGGCCTGCAGACTAAAGGGTCCCGGGTTCGATTCCGGTCAAGGGCATGTACCTTGGCTGCGGGCACATCCCTGGTAGGGGGTGTGCAAGAGGCAGCTGGTCGATGTTTCTCTCTCATCAACATTTCTATCTTTCTATTACTCTTCCTTCCTCTCTGTAAAAAATCAATAAAATATATTTAAAAAAAAAAAAAGAACTGTGACCTCAGCCCAGCCGGTGTGGCTTAGTGGTTGAGCATCAACCCAAGAACCAGATCAGGGTTCGATACCTAGTCGGGCACATGCCTGGGTTGTGGACCAATTCCCAGTAGGGGCCATGCAGGAGGCAGCCAATCAGTGATTCTCATCGGAGACAAAATGGCGGAATAGATGGGCGGATTCTGAGCCCTGTCCCGAAGCAGAAAGAGAGCAGCTGACGGTCTTGAGCTGTGAGTGTTTATCGGCAAGCTGGGAGACAGCGAACACCAGAAGAAACTGCTGGGGGGCCGCTGACAGAGGTACCCCTCGCAGGGAAGCACCCACGCGGGCTACGTCCCTGCCCGGAGCTACCTACCGGCTTGGACGGGAAACCTCGCCATCTTGAGAGAAAGATTGGATCATGTCAGAGGCCTGAATATCCACAGCCGCAGCGACCACCAAGCAGCTGTGACCCCCATAACGCGGATCCCAGGCGGCGCGAACACTTGGCCTCACGGGAGTGCCCCACCGCACGGCGAAAAGGTCAGATTTCTCGGTGAGAGGGTGGAGAGCGCTCGCGGCGAAAACAAAGACCGGTGCGCACAGAGCGCGCGGAAGCTGGAGGACAAGGGCGGTGATTACAAGTAGAAGCCCCCGCTGCTGGGCGGGTGTCACCCGTGAAAGTGGACGGGGCTCCTAACAGGGGAGATATCTGAGGAGCAACACATTTGGATCTGGCTCAGAGGGATATCGGAGAGTTGCGGGAGATTGCAGTTGCTCAGACTTGCCCCCTCCCCCCCTCCATAGTTCCTGCTGCAAAGAGGGCGGAGAAAAAAAAGCTGGAGAGGCTTTAGAGTAGGGGTGTCGAACTCAGTCAGAGAAGGGGCCAAAATCTAAAATCCAGCCTAAATCGCGGGCCGAATGGTTTACTGAACAGTCATAAACTGTCACTGTGATGGAAACGCAGTGGAGTGCAGTGATGACAGCGCTGTGCGGGCCACATTGCAAGGCCTGGCGGGATGGATTTGGCCCGCAGATTGAGTTCGACACCCCTAGGCTAGAGTCTGGGAAGTCAACCTAGAAACACTGCCACCCAGTGGCTAATTCACAAATTGACTCTAGTGTAATAAAAACAAAGCAAAACCTGCTTAAAAATCAGGACTGGATCATAACAGTAGAGGAAGCAAATGACCTTCATTACTGCAAATTTTATTTTAATTTTATTTTAATTTTTTAATTTTTGTTTTTTATTTTTGTTTTCATTATTTGCAGCATTTATTCAAGAAACTTTTTTTCTTTTTCCTCACTTGATTTTATCTTTATAATTATTACATTGTATACGTAATCAACATTATTACTACTACTATTATACCTTTTTTATCTTATTTTCTTTTGTTTATTTTTATTATTTTTATTTTATTTTGTTATATTTTTTTTTTTATTTCAGGATTACAGTTCTACATTCTTTATCTTTCCATCTCCATCACTTTATTCTATCTCAACCCTACCTTTATGCCTTCACTCTCTTTCCAACCTTTTCTTTTGGTACCCTGTTTATCTTAACCCTTTCCTGCTCTAGATTTTCCCCATTCTTTCTGTCTACCCCCTCCTAAATTTCACCCTACTTGTATACATCTAATTTCCAACCCCCTGCTCCAAGCCCATTCACACCTCCCTCGCCGTTGTCCTAAAAACAAAAACAAAAAAAGTCTTTCTCTCTAACTCTTTGAAGTTGTATGTTGAATGTTAACTATACTGAAGTTGTATGCTTTTTTTATAAGATTGATTTGCCTATTCTTTTTGTTTGATTGTATGTTTTTGTTAGCTGGGTTCTAGTCACCTTTATTGGTGATTATTAATATCGCAAACACATTTCTATTCAGTGCCTTGTGTGTTGTACCTGGTTGTGTTGTATTTTGTGCCTTTAAATCAAAGCAGGAGAGAGAGAACTACACAACCAGACATCCTAACAAGAGATGTCTGGGGAGACAAAGAAACAGCCCACATATGAAAGAAAAGCAGGCTTCACCAGAAAAGGAAGTAAACGAGATAGAGGCAAGCAACCTACCAGAGCAAGAATTCAGAGTAATGATCATAAGATGGCTAAAAAGAATGGAAGACAAATTTGACAATATGAGTAAGAACCAAGAGGAAATGAAGAAGAACCAAGAAGAAATAAAAATGACATCGCTACTGTAAAGAACTCAACAGAAAGCATCAAGAGTAGACTAGAAGAAGCAGAGGACCACATCAGCGAGCTAGAATACAAGATGGAAAAAAATACCCAATTAGAACAGCTTCTGGGGGAAAAAAAATTAAAAAGCAGGAGGAAAATCTAAGGGAACTTGGAACAATACAAAACAAAACAATATTAGAATAATAGGGGTTCCAGAAGGAAAGGGAACTGAGGAAGACATGGAAAACGTATTTCAAGAAATAATGACAGAAAACTTTCCTGAGCTAGAGAAGAAAA